ACTGAAACGTGTATGACATGTGTGGCTTCCCCTTTCCGATCACGCACCGATCCGATTATTTGGTCATCGACGGAAGGTTCTCTGATCGGAGTCGGATCGGATAGATCGGATATGTATGTCCGTCCTGCAAGCAGGCCAGACGCAATTTGAAAAATATCCAATGTCGGATTTCCAGTGAAAACGTTTACCATTTTAAAGCAACAGTATCAGAAATTACAAACCGAATTTGGGTTTTTTTAGAAATACTTCTAAACCTAAACTGTCCCCAAAAAACAACAGAATACATATAAAACTTATACTTACTTATGAAAACAGCAAATACGTTTTCCACAATTCGAAAGCCGAAATTGATTTATTTCAGTGTTTATTACGGCTGACGCATATAGGAAAGTCCTCCCAAAATTGATTTTTGCCAACTTTTGTTTTTGCTCGCATGACAAAAATAACTAAACCGAACAGCATTTTTCTGTACCATTCCGAACTAGGAATTTCTTTTGCCATTTCTTCAAATGACAACTTGAGTTAATAACTCCGTACGTGTGCGGACTCAAAATTTAGTTGGCCAAATTGTCGTTTTAATTATTTTTAGAGGGAAACAATTTTATTCCTAGAATAATATTAGCTTATTCTGAACTTGTTCCTACGTTTTTTTTTATTGTTTGAAATTAAATTAATCTTTAGTTGCTAATTTAGGGTCAAAAGTTCAGAATATTTTATCAGTAAAAATTATAAAAATAAAGAATTTGGGCATTAAAAAAGAGTTTTCAGATGCATTGGTGCTTCGTGTTCCAAAACCAAAAATCTAAGACAGGAGGAATCCACATCATCTTTGCCCGATTCCTGACAAAGACCCACGACGGAGGGTGCAGCTCCGTCCAAAATCGGTGGAAGACGATCACCCCCTACGCTACATCATAACAGTTTACCAAGAAAAAGCAATTTTCATCGAAACACTCCTGCGAGACGCTCGGCAGCAGGATTTGGTATGTATAAATAACTGTAAATTACGTATTTTAGTGTGCGTTCGTACAATTAGCACAATTAAGTGTTTGTGGTTTAAACAAAAAATTGAATTTGCAAGAGTTTGGAAGGAAATGAGCTCTGAATATTGGCGTAAAAATGTCAAACTTGCACATACTTCCACTTTTTACCCTGTAACTCGGTAAAGCACACAAAAGCACTTCAGGACAATTAACTGAGATTGTAAATCTGATATAATTCGCAGCCTTAGAGAGTAGAAGTTACTGTCTTACACCTTAATAATGTATCAAGAATCTTCATTTATATTTGTCATGTGGAATTGTGGAATTTTGTTATTGTTAACTTAACTGTTTACCATAATATTATCGACTGACGTTAGAAATTTAATAGGCAATGTACGAATGTATTCTAATTAATAAACATTGTTACACATTTGTAACCCGATATCATTGAAAATTTTGAATTTCTTCCATTCTAGCAGCTGAACCTTCAATTGAATATTTTGTGCCGCGCAGCATGAGTGAATTCGATCTATCTATCGCTACGGAATCACCTCCATTACCGAATTTCATGCCATTAACTGTAAGGGCACCGAGGAAAATGTCCACTAATTCCACAGCAAAACAAAAGGAAAAAATGGTTACCTTTGAAGATGAAATGTCCTCCAGAAGAGGTTTGTGCTTTTCAAACTTTTCGAACTCTCGAAGTAATATATTTTTCGTCTATTTTTAGAACCATCCGCAGATCTCCAAGACGTGTTCATGTGACAAAAGGGATAACAATTACCAAAAGACGTTAAGCTGTCCGACTTGGGCAACTTAGAGAACGTCAAAAAAGAACTGAAAGCTTTTAAGAACTTTAAATTGTGCGAGCATTTGAAACGATGCGAGGACAATTGCTCGTGTAATGCCGAACAGGATTGTGATATGTGCAAAGTTCTCGATTTCACATTAAAACAAGACAAATTATAGTTGACAGTGCTACTTGAACAGCATAATCTATCGGGCAGTGTATTTGATGAAAACAATTTAAAGGATGAGTAAGATATGTATATTTTGTATATAGGTAATAATAAGATATTGTAAACAAAATTGAAGAAGGCCGATGGGGATTTTGAAGTTTAGTTTATTTTTATTGGCTGCCGCTTAATTGCATTTTACAAATCATCTATCCTTACCCGATGAAAGTATAAAGTCTAGCTAGCAGCTTTATGAGTTGGCAGGTTAAAGAATCTTCTACATTTCTTCTTCGTGTTGCGGTAAAATACATATTTTTTAAACATCCATATTTCAAATGCGGCTATTTTCGTTTACTAAATTATAGTTAATTCGACTTCAAAAGCAGTTCCAAAAAATTTTATCAAGGAGATCTTGTTTTTTGTTTATCTAGTAATATCAATTTCCCAGTTCTGTAAATAGAGCAGTAAGCACGCCCGTGCAGAGAAAGTGATGTAGTTAAATTGTAAAAAAATGTATTTTGGTTTTACTCCACTTCCAATTTAACTTCCCGTCTTCATTAAACATAGATGCTTGCCGCGTCAATTGACACTTTTTTCAAATACTTCTTATTTGTTTTGGTAATGGAAATAGTTTGCAAAAATCGGGAGCAATAATTTAGTCATAACTTCATACATTATATTAAACTTCGTTATATTGTGTTGTAATGCAAGAATTCACAGCACTTATATGTTTGAAAAAGTTTACATATTTTTTGTAATATAGATTTTACAGTCATAAAAGTAGTTTTGTATAGTAGCGCTGAAGTAAAAGCCTGACAAGACTAGTTCAGTACTGTTTTTGTTAACATGAACTGTATTATGTGCATAAAAATACACTTCTTTCTAACCACGCCGTTTGACGCTTTTTACCGGAAACACATATTTTTATGTTGCTGAATTAAAGTGGAAAAAATTTGGTACAATATTCTTGTTGTAAGATCATATTACTAGTAGTGTTTACAACACTTATATTGTAAAAATTGATTGCGTTTGTTTGATAGTGGCTTTTAAACCGCTACGAAAATTAAATTTTATATTTTTTTAATTGTCCGTAAACTGGAAATGCTTCCATTGTTTCAATGTAATATTCTGTTCATGTTCTAGTGGAAAAATGAATGACCGGAGAAAATGAGCAGTCAGTAATAAAAATTGATTTATTTTTGAAATTAAACGAAATCAAATTATGATTTACATATAACCATTCTTTTTAAGCCCAGATAGGAATAGATGACATTGAAATGGTTTATTTTCATTTTCATGTTGGTTTTTCTGATTAACCAATAGTAAAAAAATGGCGTTGAAAAAAAATCAAGCTTTTATTTCTCAAAGATTTATAGCACGTCCAATATATATTTTTTATTGATTAAGTTATATCGATACATTTTTAGTGGAAACAAACATCTTTCAATATGATTGCTCAAACGTACCTAAATTGGTAACTAAATTAATTTAAGTTTTCCTTATCAGTGCTCTTTAAATTTATCTCTAAACACTAATTTTATACAGATATTTTTAATTATTTAAACTTATTTAAATCTCAGTACTAGCTGTTTCAACTATATCGGCGAAAAATCAATAGAAATATAATATGAAACAATGCATTCTTACTTAGGTTATTCATATAACCCGCTTAGGTATTTATCAAAATTTAAATCGAATTTCTTGTACTTCTGACACCCTATTGGTTTTTTCATGCATTTGGGACATCCAAATCACAGATAACATTCTTAACAATGGTAGACATCACAAGAGCTGCTTTTGTTGGTATATTTATGTATACATTTTATAAACGGAATTTGAAAAAGAGATCTTGCATTGTAAGATATTTAAGAGTTTTTAGGGGAACTTTAAGAGTGTGATATGATCATCATCATTTTTTTAACTACATTTTTAATTGTTCAATGGTTTTTACTAAAATCTGCAATTTAGCACTTAATATCCGGAATATAAATAATTTGTAACTAATTTATAATAATAAACTGATGTAAATTTTAAAATTGTTGTTATTATTGAAACTATCGTGCCGAAAACGAAAACAGATATTGCCCTTTAATTAAGTCTTTACCGATACAGAAACCTCACGTATTTTTTCGCGGATTTTCAAATACAGTGCAGACAAAAATTTTGTTTTGTTATTGTAAATTTAAGTATTATATTATTTTTATACATACATACATACATTTATAATATAATAATAAATAGTCTCAGATTTGCTGATGACATCGTCTTGATCTCGGACAGTATGAACAACGCAGCCTTAATATTGGAAAAACTGTAGGTAACTCGCAAAAGATAGGATTAAAATTCAACATGACTAAAACTGAAATCATGACAAATCTTGTGCTTGGTGGAAGTGTTAGAGTAGGTGGAGAAATAGTAAGGGAAACAACTGCCTATAAATATCTAGGGCATAGGATCCGTATAAGCGGGGATAATTAAACATTCGCGCTTGCTCGTAGAATAGGGTTGACATGGGCTGTCTTTGGCAAGTTTAAAGTTTGCATCTTCAAGTCGACACTCCCAATATGTCTTAAGAGAAAGGTCTTCAACCAATGTATCCTGCTGCTGCTAACATATGGCGCGGAAACTTTAACACCGACAAAACAAAGTGTAAAGAAAATCAGAGTGGCTCAATTTTCATTTTAGCCATTTCTTTACAAGGATTATCGGAAGTTTATCACATACATACATACATAATATTTTATCACAATTCGTCTTTGCAATGCCTGCCAATAACTCAATGACTCGAGTAATCCCATTCAGTAAAATACTAATGATTTAAATCCGGAGATTTTGCAGGCCAGGTAACTTGACTCCGCCTAAGAATCCAGAGTTCTCAGTAAGTACTATTTAAAAACTCACAAACAGTTATCTGAAGTGAGCCGGACAAACGTCTTGCAGAAACGGTAGATTCCGTCTAATATGGAAATTTTTTTATCTGATCAACTTAGTAAAATGTTCTATAGGAAACTAGCTGACCCGGCAAACGTTGTATTGTCATATAAATTTTTCCTAGGTTTTTTTTTTCATCTCGAGTGGGCGGTTTGCCCACTTGAGATTTTTCTAAAATTTTATTTTAAATTTATTAAATTACTAATATAGCTATTAAAAGATAGGGGTTTATGGCAGCACCCATATCACTTAGGGGTATAAAAAATAGATAACAACCTATTCTCGGACCTACTGAATATACATACAAAATTTCATCAAAATTGGTCAAGCCGTTTCGGAGGAGTATGGTAACTAAAACCGTGACACGAGAATTTTATATATATAGATGTAGCTAATCTGCTCCATTTAGGCATTAAGGACCTATGAAACAACGCATATACAAAAACATTTATCTTAAGTCAGTTTTGATGTTTCAATTCTTTTAAATCACTTACATAATAATGCTTATGATCTTTACTTATATTAAAAATTGGATCATTTGCAAAGGCACTTGAAATGCAAAATTTAACATTCAATAAAAATAGCAATTTTGCATTTTTTTACTTTGCATTTAAAAAGCTAGCATCTGCGGAAAACCAAGTTCTTTCAACCTCTAAAATATTTTGTGCCGGGCATCAAGTGTTATGAAGAGCATGCTATTTATTCGAAAATATAATTTCATGCGAGAAAACAAAAGCATTTCAAATGGATTGTATCGCATACGGTTCATCCTAGCCACTCAAAACAAAAGTACCTGTTTACTATAAAACGCTCTCAAGTTGATAATTTTGATATAAAAATGACCAAAAGTCAACGGTAAAAATTATAATTAGAAATATTAACTAACCGCATTAAATGTGACGTCTATTTTTCATATTAAATTATCATTTTACATCCAAGTGCAGTACGTATAAAAGTTAACGTAACCTGAGCCTCATTCTTCTATATAACCTGTTGTGTCCGAGAAAACTTCCGTCTTAACTTCACATCCCGGTTCGAAATAAAAGCCAGAATTGCTTGAAAAAACTTCTTTAATAGGCAGACAAAAACACTCCGAACAAACGAACAACTGAACTATGTATAAAAAACGTCACAAAAAAGGTGTGGTAACTATACAAAAGACCTGAACACTATACAACCCTGTGCGCATATGTGCCTTACTATTTTCTCCACCCGCTTTCTCGGTTTACTGACCCACTAACGGGACTTTTTAAAAACATTTTGACTCGACAGAGGTGGAGGGCTGATTCTTGACAAGGGTGATTGCTAAATGGCTCTAACATAAGGAACATTATAAAGAATAAAAAAAGTCAAAGGCTCAACTTCAAAACTTTCATATTTCTGGCAGTAAACATTTATGGGTAATACTATTTCTCTCTCTGTATTCGTGTGTCGGCCTAGTTTCCCGGCACCCTTTTATATGCGAACAATATTTATTTCTTGCCAGAAAAACTATTGACCCAACCGGTCTTTCTGCCTCTATTCTTTGATTAATTGCCAACATCCAATTTTTCTGTTCAAATAGCAATTTATTTTGTAAATTAATAGGCCACTTAATTTGTCGAATTCTTCAGAAACTGCCAGGATTTAACACTGAACAAGAATAACGTGTTTAAATATTTTTCTCAAAACTCTTTCTAAGTGTTATGTCGGGGTGGCTTTCCTTATATATATTTTTATTCTGAACCTCTTCAGTCATGTTTGTTTTAGCAAATCGCCCTCAATTGACGCACATTGAAAGTTTTCTTGCTTTTGTTGCCCTGGCGTGATGTAAAAAAACCTTGACGTTTTCATCCAGTTCTTCAATTTTCTGCTTCTAGATTTAATATGTACTGATTGCTTCAAAGATTTATATACGTCATGCATTTACATTTCTGTATTCTTCTTCGTAAACTAATAACTTCAACATGTTTATTGTTTAGTAAAACAAATTTTCAAATATCCTTTGTACTGAAATCCAATGTGAAAGTCAAAGGATTGATGCTACAATTGTATATAAAAACGCATAGAGATATATTTTATAATTGAGTGAGTGTACTAAAGATACTTCAGTAATTTAATAAAATCAAAAACAGATAAATAAATGTATGCACTTAACCAATAGAAAAAAGTGAATCGAACAAGGTTAAATAACATACTTGATTAAATCGCGAATTGTAATCAGGATCTTAGTCATTACTACGCACCTGTTGACCTGTTTGTTCTAACAAAATAATTCGTACACACTTACAAATCATAATACATCAAAAAATTGATAGTACATGTAAATTCTTAAGGAGGTACAAAATGTTCCATATTGCTCTATACGAGACTTAAAGTTTTAAAATATGAAAGACCTGGAAGTGTTTTAAAACAGATCTGATAAAAAAAAAATAAGTACGCGCTGCAAGTATAAATTTTATACAGGATTGGCATTGAAATGCATTAACCACTTTTTCAAAGCCCGACGTAGGAAAAATTAGTGGGTAACTGAAAATGTCCTTCTACTAATGAAAGAACATCGGCTACACAAAAATAGATATCTACCAAAGTATGCAAGGTTCCAAACGCAAATTGAAAGCAAAAGCTTTGAAGTTAAAGAAGAATATTCAAAAACGAAATACTTAAGAATTGAGCAGTCCTGGTGAAATGCTCGATCACTTGAAAAACTGTATTGAACATCTATTCAAAGAACAGGATTTAATATTTAACAATCCAACATATTACCGGAATAACAACTTTTGAAATATATCTAAATTCGGGTTTTAGCTACCTGTGTAAGTTACAAATCGATTAAAAACCCATTATAGCAAGAGTGAGAAATCGTTATAAGTTTAAAATTTTGCTTTAAAATATTCAGCTTCTGAAAAGAATATTTCCAAAAGCAACATTTAAATTGAGCTCATACACAGGTCATTACAAAAGAAAAATTTTATTTGCAACCAAAAATTAAGCTTCTAAGTGCTTCCGAAAACATTACTGTTGCTCTTTGAAGAACCTAATGCTTCATAATGTTGCTATCTAGTAGATGATATTTTGCGCAAATTGAGACTGCTCGAGAAATTTTAGGGGCAAATTCAACTTTTGAAGTTACCTTGTAAAAAGGACTTAAGTTTTTAAAGTCATCAGAGTGATCATCGCCAAATCTGGACCACCTGCACATATCATAAAATTTTATATCAATATCTGAATATTTGCAGGATGTTCTCGTGCTATTAATTACGTCAATAGTGAAATTAAAACGTATGTAATTTGTTGTTATTCAAACCAGATTTCGGGGAAGATTTGATTGAAAACATATAAGCATTTACTAGCTCAAGTAGCCCCTACATTTGTACAATCGCCATTTCCAATAACATTCTTACTCAATTGTCCAAATCTAATTAACAGTGAGTACCCTAATCTTAAAAATAGTTATCTCTATGTAATTATAATCCAGTTTCATTCAAAAGGAACGCGATCCTTTTCATTTTAGTACTTTGTGCAAATTAATTGACGGCATCAGAATGAAATATTTGGTTCTGCTTTTGATCGGCCTCTATGTTCCCTCAGCAATATCAGATGAAATCTCCAACGTTGATATAGAGAATGTCATTCAGTCCTTGCAAATAGCGATCGATGCGAAAGTTGATAGAAAAGTGCCTGACGATGCTTATCTTACCATTGTAAGTAAAACTATTTAATTTAGTGTTTGGTACAAAAAATGTAATATGAATCACTCACAAGTCTTTTAAAAGGAAACTCTTAATAACAAAATAAGAAATAAAGATCTTTGAGTAAAGGCTCTACTATTGTGCGATTACTTTAGTACGGACTTCTTGCCTTTTCTAGACTTTTTAAAGCCAACAATGAATCAAAATTATAAATGTGGTTTTGCATTATTTCCTCATTTCTATTGCAGTTGTTAAATGTTTACGCCTTGATTTAAGAACCACAAGGATGACAACAGGAAAAATTATAATGAAACAAGTAGAACATACAAATATACTTTTTAAAATTATACAAGTATATTTATTTTACTTAATGAAATTGGAAGCCAATGCCCAAATAGTCCTCTTATTGTATGCAGCTTTATTATTTATTATATTTATTATTTATCTAGTTTTTTTTTATTTTAAAACGATAGATAAATAGCTGTACGCTTTTGCTCCTGACGAAAAGAAATCCTTAAAAAGAAAAAGGTGAACAAGTCTTCAAAATTATAAATAGAGATAGGCTTTCGAGGACATTCCTTGAAACTGGTGAGTTTTTCGAGTTTTTAGGCAGACATAAAATGAAATATCTTCCTGACGTTTCGCAAGCACAAGTGGCTTGCATCTTCAGAAGTGGTTTGCTTGAGAGTTTATACTGTACTGATCACATAAAAAAAGTGTGAAAAATTGCTAATAGATGCACTCTCAGAAGAATAAATAACATGTTTGCTTGAGATCGGTTATTGGAAGTATTAATTCACCCTCAATCTAGAGCGTTTTCAATTTTATGCTTGTTTGGGTTTTCTTTGTACAATTCTTCTGATATTGAACTTCATGACTGATAACATTAATCCGGATAGTGAAGATATGTCAGCACCAGGATCTGTATTTATTGATATGATGGAGTTTTGAAATATGTTGCAAATCACAATGATTTTTTGCTACTTTATCTTTCCTACCACTTGATAGTTTCCATTTGCATAATCTGCCAGATGGCAATTGAAACTGATTAGGTATTCATAAGTGGGAATTATCGGTTCGTATTTTCAGGTCGTTTTCCCTTACTATTTAAGCGCCGCAAATTTCACGGATTACTTAAATATTCCCTGAATTTTTACTGTGAATATTTTTTCAATCGGTAGTCCGATTTTAGCAATTTTTTTAGCGAATCATAGCTCAAGCTATCCTTGAACAAAGATGACGTGATAACCTAAGCAAAAATATCAATATACATGTTTAACAGTATAGTTGAAATTCGCCGTAACATACGCTGTTAGAGCCATGTCCTCTGCTTATTCGATTTGAGATAAAATTATTTTTTTAGGTACCCGTTCATAATTCGCATGATTCGAATACATCTAAACTTTATTTTTTAATTGCGAAGAGAATTGTGGAAACAATATTTTATTTCAATATTAAAGCTATCAACCGATGTTTCTTTTGTTACGTATGCAGCTCTAAAAATAAACCAAACAATATCCATAAAAACCTTAATTAGGAAAGCAAAAATTTAATTGAGAAATCAGAAAAAGTGACAAAATAAACAAAGTATCAAGTTGTAATAAAATGTTGTTCTCACTGCCTTTTTGTCGGGAGTTTTCTTTACAAACGAAAATTAAATTAAAAGTAAATTTAATGCGGAAAAGTTTTTCGGTCAATAAAAAGAAATTTCTCTCGAATTGTTAACAACAATTACATACAAATTACAACTTTCAATTTCACACTACAAATTTCGGAGAAATATGTTTACTTTGATAAAGAAAACACGATAGTATTTAAAAAATATTTACCACGAGTTAATTTCTTTTTTTGCGTATTTTCAAAATTTTATTTTCTCAAAAAATGAAGCCATGATTCGATGAATTCTTACAAGTGCGCGGCTTGTTATATCAATATCTGAATGTCTGCAGCATGTTTTCTTACTATTAGTTACATCAATAGTGAAATTGAAACGTATGTAAATTGTTGTTACTCAAGCCAGATTTCGGAGAAGATTTGATTGCAAACATATAAGCATTTACTCGCTCAAGTAGCCTCTACATTTGTTTACAAAAATAATTCGAATCGAATCGCCGACTCAAAAAAATTCCAGTCAAAAGGTAAGAAATAGTTAAAGCAGTGTAAGCACTGGTAAGATCATTTAATTGGTTCCTTTTAAGAAAAACAGATGAATTTTACTACTGTGAGAATTTGACAAAAGCACCCTATTTTTAGTCACAATATGTCACGAAATATGGATACTCGTTCGAATCTCACGAAATAACTACGGAAGATGGGTACATTCTTGAGTTGCAAAGAATTCCGGCTAAAATCCAAGGAGCTCCTGCCGCATTGTTTGTACATGGGTTGGCCTGTTCAGCCATTGATTGGGTCAACCAAGGACCAAATGCTTCGTTGGCGCTCTTAATGTCTGATTTAGGTGAGTTGGAAAATGTGTTTTCAATCTGAAATATACGTGGCTAAACTGTAGTTAGTACGCGCTTTGTTTCAACTTTTTTACGCATTATACAGGGGGATTCATTGCAAATCGAAATTCCGGAATCTTACAACCGGATATTTTCGGAACTACAGAGTGTTAAATGTCTTCGGTTTAACTAGTTTTATAGATGGTGAATATGAAGCCATCATGTGAAGTCATGTGTGGTGATGACATCATAATGAATGCCTACTTGTGAAGTAATAAATTTTCACCCTGAAAGTATTACATCATATTCAGTTCAAAATCAAAAGGCAATAATTTTTACATAAATTAAGTGACCTTATTACATATGGACATTCCGACCGTTTCTTGAGATAAATGGATTCAGCGAACAGTGGTTTTTAATTCCGCGTAAATCTGAAAATTTATCTAACCAATAATGTATGTTAAATACTAAAACATGAAAAATTTGTAATAATTACTTTTAGTAATTTTAGAGAGAGAAAGAAAAGAAAAGAGAGATTTTAAAATAGAGTTTGGAACAACATATTGAGATTTTCTCTGATTTCGTTGGAAGCGACTTGTATTTTTTGCCACAATTTTTTACACGAACCAATAGGATCTTTGTAAACTCTATCTTTCATTTGAGCCAAAATTGAATAAAAGTCCAGCGGATTCAAGTCCGATCAACGTTTGCTTTGCGCAAATTATGACAACATATTCGTTATTCTGTACTTGATGTTCGTCGAATTGTTGATAACTTTCAGCGCAAAAGTACTTCAAACTCACACAAAGGAAATAATGACGCTGTAAGAGCCAGAGTTGCAAATTTGACGATTCTACAACATTCACAAAAGTTGCATCTTTTACAGGCAAAAACTTGGTGTATCCGAAATTGACCCAGAAATAGAAAAACAAGTCTTTTTTGCTACAGCCTTTGGATTCTAAAAACCTATCGTTTACTGTGGTGTATGTAGTGGAGGAATCATTGCACCATAGTCACAATAGGGTGAAATTGATTTGGAAAACTTATGGTTCAACCAGCTGGAGCCGCACCACATTTTCTATATTTCCTAAAGTTCGGAAATCAATAATTTCAAGAAATGGAACGGTTAATGGCCTGCATGAAATTGTGATTTAACCCCACTTGATTTTCTTTTCAAAGAATAATAAAGTCCTATGAGATATTTATGAGGAAACACCTCGAACTTTTGACGCGTTAAAATTAAATGTTGTTGAGGTGGATATTAGCAGGGAGCTTAAGATCTTACGTTTTCTTCTTCTGGACTTTCTCCCCTGGATTTCATTCAAGAGATTATCTTGAATAGCCTCTTAAAACTCTGAGAATGAGCAAAAAATAATTGAACTTTTTAAATGGATTTATTACTTGCCTCAAAGCACCTCAAGTTTTCCGTTGATGGGGATGGGATTAACAACGGTCTAAATTCAGGATTTTTATCATCGAAGTAATTTTTTTCTTAAGCCTTTTGAGGAGCTACTTAATCCAATGGCCCCATCAGCTTGTCTCTAAATATTGTCCAAAAAAAGTTATAAGCAAAAATGTTCGGAAAACTCGCGTGAGTAAGTAAATTGGCCTGAAGCGACTATAACCATTCAATTTTGTTTTAAATTATATTGTTCATCATGGGTTTTGATCTGCTAAATTCAGTGGTGCTCTTATTTTGGTCTACGTAGCGATAAAAAAGTTATAATCAAAAACTTGAAAATTTCAAAGAAAAAAAAATAAAAGTTAGAGAATTTGATTAATTGGTTAAAAAAATCCGTCAATAAGAAACATTGCTAATTATTTCTATTTACATATGCTTCTATGTATTTTGAGCTGCTGAACCAAATCGACTCGTGCCATCATTTTTTGTAGATGTATCAACAAAATATAGTACCACAAACAAAAATCCTCGAAAAATTAGAAAATTGAAGGAATAGTCATGGTCCCGGAACATAACGCAAATAGCATAGCACTATATCTAAGCCACAACAACCAGGTGAAAGTCTGTGCTTTTTATGTCAAAATTCAAAAATTTATTTGCAAAATTTCAGTTTAAAGAAACTTAAATGGCACACTCTTCCATAAGCTTACGAGACTCGGCAGGCTCGCAAAAAAATGCTTGCAGTAATTGAAAAATTGCCAGAAAAAAATAAGGAAAGAGTAGAAGAAATTTGGAAGATGTTTTAAGACGACAATAAATACCAACATATGTTTCGTGTGTTTGCAAATTTTGAAAAATTGGGAAATACGCCGACTGATATTGTTTTCGATATTTAGACATAGATTTAGATAAACATATAGATATATAGACATACAAATATAGTTTTTGGCGACTGAAAAAGGCGCCAACATGTTCATTGGAATATGATCGAAACACGTTTAAAGCGGCAGTAAAACGCCCAAAACAAATCATAAAACACTCTTAAGAAAGCTCGAGAATCGATCGAAACGAACTGCTTATTTACGTTCCCGAAGAATTCTTATAGATATAGGCGTTTGTAGCCAACAAATAATCAGATTGCGTGAATATAAAAACGAATAAAATGAATTTTTGATCGAATCAGAATCACTTTCCTTCCAGTACTAAATCAAGGAAAATCTAATAAGAAGTGAACCGAACAAAGTGATAATTAACGCTAGAGGAAAATTCTTCTTGAAAATCTACCTATAAAAATAAATAAAAAAATTGTTAATTTGAAATATAACGAAAAAATCCAACCATTGAGTTGTGAGACATAAATAGCACACGCGTTACGCTTACGAGAAAAAAAATTAAAAACTACTGCGTTTCCAAGACGAAATCGACGAAGATTAACGAAAATTGAACGACACGAACTGACGAACTCACGAAGAAATTTTCTGATAGTCGACGTTTGTGCTTAACAAGTAATTTATCACAGGAAATGACAAAAGTTGAGAGCGATCTATTCTTAATTTAAAAATTATTGATTAAAAACAATTGAACCAAATAAAAGGTCTGGAAAAACAAAAATCGAGCGAGGAGGAAAACAATAATCGGCTAGATAAATAAAGATAAAGATAAATCGGCTAGAAATGTCTTCCAAATAGGAAAAATACACTTGAATCTGAAAAAAGTTCAAATTGTTCGTAGAAAGTAAAAAATCAAAAATACGGAGACAAAAAATACGCCTTCAACTGGATTCAGCAGCTCAAAAGACATGAAAATTTATATAATTTAAAACAAAACCTATTATCATTCAGAACAGCCCAAATTATTACCTTTTCGTCTTTCATTTTTCGAGTTTCCTCGGATTTTTTTGCTTTTGACTGTTTTTTGGCTGTACTTAGAGGAAAACTTGTGTTATTAATCGATTTAACAGCTCGAAATGAGTACAAAAAACTGCTTCAATAATGGAAATCCAAAATTTGGACCGATTTTTAGAAGGATAAATTAACACGCTTTTTTTTCATACGAAATTAATCGGAAACTTAACGTGCTTTAAAGCGCGTGATTCTTTTTTGCACAGAGAAACGACCGAGGAACAAAAAATTAAGATCCGGCATGGTAGATTTTGAATAATGTGTTATTCAGAATATAAATGGCATGCTTACTTGTTCTCATCTCGAACCACCCATATAAAAATTTTGCATTTATCATAAATATTTTGAATTTAATTTCGTTTTAAAAACATATTAATAATATTTAATCGTCCTCGTATAATGCACCTTGGTTATTTTATTTGTCTCTATCGCTTAAGTGTCAAAGGTTCCAAACGTAAAAAATAGTCGAACTATTTCCATTTTCTAGATCTTTTACATAATAAATCATGAATAAATTAAGTATTAATGTTTTTAACCAAATGAAGTTATTATCCTAATAGATTCGCTTGATTTTAGGTTACGATATATGGCTATTTAACAGTAGAGGTTCCATTAACGGAATGAAACATGAAACATTTAACAGTTCCACGGCTGAATTTTGGTCATTTAGCTTCCACGAAAAAGGTTATTATGACCTTAAAGCCACAGTTGATCACATTATCGAAACTACTTCGTTGGAAAAAATAACTCTCATCGGCCACTCAGAGGGCACTTCCAGTGCAATGGTTTTGGCTTCCACTAGATCCGAATATAATGATAAATTCAATTTGGTTGTATTTCTGAGTCCAATCAGTTATATGGGTGGTGTAACCTCGCCTTTGATATTGTTTCTGACGAGCATTCTAGATGAGCTTGTTGTAAGTTTAATATGAGAGAAACGTATCCAAAAATACTTTATTTGTCTCGTATGTATTTCAGATTTTAGTAAATGCTGTAGGCTTTCATGGATTCGCCTACTCGGAGCAGTTTGCTCATTTACTTGTAAGCGCTTGCTCTATTGATGGTATCACGCAAATTTGTGGGAACTTACTGGGAGCCCTCGCCGGTCCGGATATAGAACAATTGGATCTTGTAAGAATCAGTTTTCATATTCGAACTTATAATTCATATAAAAGCAATATTTTGTCGAAATAACCAAATATGTAAACAAAGTTCATTCGGGTACCTATTTCTAATAAGAAAAAAGTTGAATATAAGACTATTCTGCTAAAGTCACCAAGTCGAATCTCCAAGAAACACAAAAAGTCACAAAAATTTACTTTTTTAACTATGTAGAAGACAGATCATTTTCAGTTTGTATTCATTTGTGTAAGCTTCATTTTTCTCATTTATATAATTAATAATTTAAACGCAAACGCACAATAAACGTTTTTTCGCAATTAATCAAAAGTTCTTTATGACTTTATATCTTTAAAAATGATGTGAGCATATTTCAAAATCATGCGAAACTGTAATAGATAGAAGCAAAGACTTAATTGATCTGTTAAACAGCCTTTAATCACTTGTAAATTATTACTACACAATCTGCATATTTATCTAATGATCAATGTTTTTTAGGATCAACTGTTGATATTTTTCTCTAGCAAGCCATCGGGAGTATCTGCAAGGCAACTCATACACTATGGACAAGAAATTCTTGCTGGTAAGTTGAGGCGCATAACGTAGTTTGAAATAAATTTGTATTATAGCGAGCGCTATTTAATAATTTATTAATGACTACAAGCCAATTCCTCAAGTATTTTCAAAATAAAAAGTCCATATAGGCGCATATGACCTGTTTGAGGAGCATATAAGGTGATTTTGCCTTCATATCTCAAAAACCGGTCTTTTGATAAGAATAGCTTTTTTACGCAACAATGACACAATAATTAATTTGATTACTATAGAATGTGATACAAACATGCACAAAAAAATTACGCTTTGTTGATACAGAGAAACCATGTAGGTAACGCCCTCAACATGAAAAAGAAAAACCAACATCAAATTTGAGTTTCTGGCGTCGCAAACTACTGCTACACGCTTCCAAATTCTTGTACATTCTATTACATTATATGGTAAAATACTTAGAAACAACAAAAAGTTATGTTATTTTTAACAATCTGCAGCTCGATAAAACCATGCCTATTCTTAAAATGTCTGAGGAAGCGCCCTGTGAAATGTAGAACAGTTAATAAAAAATAGCCGTGATATTTCTCTATTAATAAGTTAATAAGAATATGTTATTGATTTCATTCTAGACACATTTAGAGAATATGATTATGGCGCCATTGAAAACTATGTGAAATATGGTAGTACCAGTCCTCCGGTTTACAATGTTTCCCAGATAACTGCACCAGTAGCAGCTTATTATTCATCAAACGATTATTTTGCTGGTGTAACAGTGAGTTTCTTTTATTTTCTATACAGGGTGATTCAAAATTGGCGTCATTTCTCTGGAGGTGTTRTCTGGCGCTGTTATAGGAGTACAGAAAAAATAATAAAMGAAATTAATTGTTATTAAAAACTGAGAAATTTGCRAAAAACTATATCAGAGATACGGCAGCAATGTTTTTCAAGGTAATCTGCCTAATTAAYATTGCGCAAATACCTGTTGCTCCGTAATTATTTAAAACTCCGGTAACCATGGAATTATACAGAGTGACAATCAGATAGACAAGGATAAACGGTCAACTCAACAGGAATCGTTGAATGACGGATCAAACTTTCGAAATGTCAACCTGTTCTCATAACCTCTCTAMATTGGAGTTTATAAATACCAAACATTTGAATAGTTAACTCCAAACAAGCTAGTGCCTGTGTAATCTCCTTGTTATCCACTCTGGTSAAGCAGCTTCTTGTATTCAGTTAATTAACTCCTGCTCCATTTGTATCTMCGTGTGCTGTGCGTATCGTCCAAACGTGGTAGGAATGTAGTCGGTWTTGATTTGRTGCCTGGGAAAGTGTCAGTAGTTGTGCTCTGAGTGCCCCTGGAAGGCCTCGATTCGATTATGTCCAATACTTGTTCCTCTGTGYCTGGAAYCCGAAMATCKATGGTCGTCCACTATCTTCCTGGAACCACTCTCCTCGCCCTTTGTTGGCGTGAGTTCYTTCAGCTTCTGCTATGTTACTGTAGCYTTTCYCSTGAACTAATCGCATATCCRCAAATTCGTGAAAGGAAATTMAAAGWAAGTCACAGTTTGACAAATTATTGTTATTATKGACAGGGCCYATCMACCTGTAACTATCTGTTAATGACAAAAAACATCATTGCCGCTGTGCCTTTTCATCAAAAAATTGTAGAAGAGRACTTTTTAGATATCATAAATTTTCGTAGTTTGAAGCAAAGATCGTAATTTTCCTTTTTGAATGCTTAAGTATTCCAATATGCTACCAATTAAACATGTAACAATTTCTAATTAATGCTTAATAACAAAGTTGAAATTTGATCTTCAACTGTTAAYATCTTCTAGAAATTTTCGAAAAAAAAATTTTCAATATTTTTCTCGTACTCCCCAAGTGAGCCTCTATCACCCCTTAAAAGGAATGACGCCAATTTTGAATCACCCTGTATATTATTAGCGAGTTCTTTAGTCCGAGTCGACTAATATATAATTTTATTCCCAATTTATAGAATATTTATCGAAAGAGAACAGTCGGGTTAGTTATTTCAAAAAGCATAAAAGTTGTTTTTGAGCAAAACATAGAAATTTGATTAATCACAATTAATTTTAATACCTCAATTAATTTATTTTGTATTATCATTTCTAGAGTGTCGAGAGGCTTGTAAGTGAACTACCTAACGTCGTTGATCAATACCTAATAGAATACGAACAATTCAACCATCTAGATTTTATTCTTGCTAAAGATGTGAAGACCATGATTTATGATCGAGTGATATCACTTGTAAGTAAATTCAACCCTTTGTGATATGATGACGATGATGATATTGTTGGCGCGGATAGAACATTTATGAACGTACCAGTTCGACGTCCTATCATTTATTTTTGTTCTGGTGTTTTTGGTGTGTAACAATGGAGAAGTGAAGTTGTCAATCTAATAATAATCAATAAATAGAAATTAATAAATCAGCAATCATCCAATCAATCATCTATAAAAAACGAAATAAAAAGGCAAGCAGTAATCCTCAGCGCACTAAAGCACAAAGGTGTGCAAAACAGATATGATATTTTGAATAAATGTGATAGAAATGATTCAGTGTTATTTTTTCAAAGAATAACCTCACAAATTTACAAACATTTAAGTTCTACACCATCAAAAGAAGGCCGCGAATTAGACATTTAGACTGACCCTAGTCAATTACTGTATGGGACCCAAGTCCAATATATTTATTCTGGTGTTAATCTTGAAAGTGACTGAAGTTTTGCATTTACAGAGCTGCAAGAAGAGCTAAACTTTTTTTCAATTTGCCAATGTGCCGATATTTTATCATAATTTGTCAATATTAATTTTAGGATGCAAAWTTTTTTTTTCTTTTATTAAATTGCAAAATTTGATTTTCTTTGGCGCCAAATTTCGTGWTAAATGTATTTATGTTTCTGATACATTTTTGCCTATYCGCACTAAAATTTTCGACAATTCATGTTAACTCTAGCTACAGGAAGGAATTTCAAAATAGTTGATAAGTCTTTTCATARAACATGCCGAGAATTACCYTTTAGTATTGCAAAATTGCAGAATTTTCAAGATTTATGCGATTTTTCATTCCCGATCGAGTAATCGAGTAAATGTATAGAAACGGCTAGAAATGATTTTAAGTTAGTTTTACAAAAATAAATTAAAAACATTGAAAAACCCAATACAGAATCCAGAAACTCCTCGTCGTTTCTCGTCGAATAAATATGGCATGCAACAATATCATAAAATACAAATCAACAATATGAGACTAAAAGTTCTACATCTACATGGCAACCGGGCACAAAGTAATACCAAACTGACCGAAAGCTGCATCATGCCACCTGGAAAGAAAAAATGTGTTTAAAACAGCAGAAAATCTAAAGCCAATTTACTTGAAAATCAGCAAAGGAAAGAGAGAGAACTATGAAGAATGCATAAAACAGCAATTTAACGGTTGTCTGAAGTTTATTATTTATATTGTCTCATAATTCAACAATTGCTTACAGGCAACTTTAAATAGCATATCCTGATGAAAATGTTACGAATGAAAACGTTTAATGTTTTGACCCATTTTTTGTCGCGTAAACGGTTTTATTATTCCACTAAAACACTTAAATAAAACCGACAAAGTAAGGAGAGCAAACAAAGAACTAAATAAAAAAATCTAAATAATGTATTTAGTTAAACCGATCAAACACTATTTCAATCAATATTTGACCTTCTCCCAGCACTAATTTTGAGTAGACAGAGCAAAAAACATTATACGAAGTTACGAAAATTATTTTGCAAATATCGCAAAATGAGTTTTAAATTTGGTTGATACAGTTTTACCTTCAAGTGGAGATTTTGAGAAATAAAAATGGTTCGTTCAGTTTTTCTTGGTCTCTTTATTAATATTTTTCCTTGCAATATGTACGATTAATAGTTTCTGAGATGTAGCCGACGACCTCTCTTGTACGTAAGTTTAATTGTGTTTGTAATTTGAAACGCGATTATTTGCAAACTTCTGGACCAAAAGCAACAAAGGAATAACTAGTCTAACGAGAATTGAACGGCCTTTAAAACGATGTGCCACTTGACCCCCCTTCCCATTTAAGATTCTAAGGGTGATCTCGCCCTTAGAATCGCCCTAAGGGGTTGAAAGAACGAGGCTAAAAATATGAATTTAAAGTGTCCTCCTTACAAATAAAATTGGTGGGTCTTTCCGGTTTTTCATATTTTCAACTGCATGAAAGAGGTTGGAAAGTTTTCAAATTGACACCCGGTATATTTATAAAACACCACGCGGAATTTATTAAAGTGGTCACTTGTTTTCCATTCCACTCTCAACAGTTCCAAGAATTCACACTCAGATGTAAAAGAAACATTATAGTTCTTTTCTCAACAGTATAAATGGGTTTTTACTAATCTTATTAGCTCTTTATTCTCAACGAAATTGCTGAAACTTTCTCTAGCCTCTCCGCCTAGTTCGTCGTCTAAAATATCCGCGAGTTACAGCAAGCGTTAAAGTTCACTCAACACTCATTTACAAGTGATGCCCATTTTTTAGTTTTTAATTCACCTTTATCGAAGTTCACAATTTTAATGCGACGTTTTGTACTAAATTTATAGAGACCATTTCACCGACCGCGGACTAAATAACTCACCTCTATATAAATAGTAATTTATGGAGAATCAAAATGACTGAAAATCTCTCAGTAGAGTCTGTAGTGAAAATGAATTTTAGTCATCAAGTACGTGATGATTTACAATTATCCAATTTGACATCACTCCGACTCAAAATAATAAATAAAATTGTAGGTAGTCTTTACCACTGTTACGCGTTAACTAAAACGACCCGACAGAAATGACCTATTTTTTCAGCTGTAAAGCAATGAAAAAATCATAAACATAGCTGCCGCCTAATAAACAAACAATCTTTCTACATCACAGGTGACAAAAGGCTATTTAAAATATTCTAGAAATTATACTTGCCCTATTTGGTTCAGGATTTAATTTACAGATTTGGATAAATGGTTCAGATTAATGAAAACTTTCACGCTTCCTCTACAGGGTCAAAGCAAATATAAATTTAAAATTGAGCTTTGTCTAATTCTGTAATTTGGAATTATTAGAATATTATTTCAAATTTAGGCGTTTAAATCAGGAGTTATGAGAGCAAAAAAACTATAATATATACATACAGGGTGATTCAAAATTGGCGTCATTCCTTTTATGGGGTGATAGAGACGCCCTTGGGGAGTACGAGAAAAATATTGAAAATTTCTATAAGATATTAACAGTTGTAAATCAATTTTTATCTTAGTTATTAAGCATTATTTTGAAATTGTTCCATGTTTAATTGGTAGTATATTGGAATACTTATGCATTCAAAAAGAAAAATTACAATCATTGCTTCAAATTACGAAAATTTTTGATATCAAAAAAGTTCTCTTCTACAATTTTTTGATCAAAATTCACAGCGGCAATGATGTTTGTTGTCATTAACAGATAGTTACAGGTGGATAGCCCTTCTCAATAATAACAATAATTTGTCAAACTGTGACTTACTTTGAATTTCCTTTCACGAATTTGCGAATATGCTATTAGTTCAGGGAAAATGCTACAGTAACATGGCAGAAGCTGAAAGAACTCACGCCAACAAAGGGCGAGGAGAGTGGTTCCAGGAAGATAGTGGACGACAATCGACGTTCAGGTTCCAGGCACAGAGGAACAAGTATTGGACATAACCAAATCAGGGGGTTCCAGGGGCACTCAGAGCGCAATAACTGACACTTTGCCAAGCACCAAATAAGTATCTAGGAAGGGCTACGTTCCTACCACGTTTGTACGATACACACAGCACAAGGAGATTCAAATGGAGCAGGAATTAATTAACTGAATACGAGAAGCTATTTGATAAGAGCGGATAATAAGGAGATTACACAGGCACTAGCTTGTTTGGAGTTAACCATTCAATTGTTTGGTGTTGTATGGTTTATTTTTAAACACCAATATTCGAGGTTATGATAACAGGTTGACATTTCAATCAAACGAAACGAACTTTTTTAGTTTCAATTTAAGTGCGTTTCAATAATTTCAATGATGTAATAATTATTTCTTTATCAAAATTGCTCAAGATATCACAAGATAATATGTATAATAATTTAGGTCTAAATATGAAACAACTGACAATAACAAAATAATACACAATACAGAACCAAAAATTGTATATTTCCATAGAAACAAATGCAAATATTTTCATTTGAACTTCAACATCAAAGCTTTGCGCCTTTGCGATGTGTGGGTAAATTATACCCAGAAGTTCTCGTTTCAATAAAAAGTTAGACTTAAGATCAGTATTTCATTGAATGCTAATCACAAGGTCGTTTAATTTAGACTTTTCTTTTCGTTGCCTATTCAATTAACCCGCACGTGTTCACAAAGTATGCAAATAAATTGCAATTCTAGTATTGCAAAACTATTAATTCTATTGTTCGCTTGGTATGTTTAGAGCAGAGCGCTAATAAAACTCATATGAAATTGATCTCTAAAATAAGTTTAAAACAAGCTCCTAATGTTGTACTAACAAAATTGGATCATTTTACTGCCAGTTAATGGAAAAACATGGATAGCCACATTCATATTATCTAAGAGCTTGCAAAAATCCGTTCTGTTTTACAACTTCTTCCATAATAACTAAAATGCAAAGTTACCTAATTCTTCGTTAATTTTGTAACTCCGCAATGCAATTTAATGCTATTTCTAAAAATGTAATTCAAATTGTCAGAACCATTATTAATGATAAAACGTTCCATCGTACAGTAGCAGAGGCATGTTCAGGATTGGTTCCATATTTTGGGCATTGTCATTCGCCATTAATTTAATTTGCCAATAATACTTTATAGCAAAAGTAACAATTTCTTCATTGATTTAACGTGATGGCACAAAGCCAAATCAATGTAAAAATTAATCGAATTCATAATGGCAAATACGATTTCTCGAAAACCCAATCATTTCTCAAGTCAAATTGCCACAAAAAAAAAACATAATATAATCATCGACGAAAATCACTTACAATAACCTCATGAATGCGTCTTTTGGAGGTTCACAGTACGTCATGTAATATCTTGTATGATTTGTATCTGATATTTTATACTCATCAGTTGAAACTCAGTCTATTCATCAGTTTTTAATTATTTACAAAATAAATAAAGTTTATTCGCCTTCAGCTTCTTCGCTGCTCTTACTTGTAGTGGAAACAGTCTTTCCATGTCTGGACAGAAAGTCGAAATTTTGTTTGTAGGCACAGCAGCAGGCCGATGGCATTTTAAAGGAATCTGATACAGGTTCGCCTTTATTATCTAAAGTGAATAATCGTCGATAAACGTACTTCTGTCGACATGCCATTGTGTAGCTGGAATCTATGGACGGGCTTCCGGGAATATCACATGCTCCATCAGGACTAAAAATTTTAAGAAAAAAATGAAACATTTCTTTTAAATGTGTTATTAGAAAAAATAGTTTAATTTTTTTAAACAGTTACGTAAGATATGTGTGCAAGTGATTGAAAGAACTGAGAAAATAGTATCCAACACATTTTCTGATTTCGGTCATGTCTTCCCCTCTGCGCTTACAATAGAAAATAGACTGAAATCATTCTTAGGGGTCTAATCAGATCTAGGGTCATAAGAAGAATCCGTTGTAAATAGGTCCTCGTTTAACAGAATATATCATTTTAAACAAAAAGAAATAAAAATACATACAAAAGTAAGTAGTTAAGAGAGGTTTTACTGTCTTAGAGTTAAAAATATCATAATTTAAACAATAAATTAATTAGAAAAATGTCAGTTAGTAAGCCGCGTTTATTTCAAGCCTGTATGTATTTATTTTCATATTTGAAACAGATTAAACTGTTTTCAGAAAAGCTTTTTTTAACAACCGACCACAAATAATTTTTTGGTCGAGAAGCGTTGCAAATGACGCAGAAATATGTTGTTTGAAATACGTTTGATAGTATTTTAAACAGTACAAATGAAAAAGTAGAGTACTATACAATGAATCTATGACAAACAATGTAAAAATATCGAAAAATCTGAAACGCTGAGCACAGAAAAGAACTACATAGAATTAGTTAATTTTCTTCCGATTATCGAAGGAGAGGTAGACATGAAAATATTGAAAATAAAAACTGTAGTAAAAGATTGCAATGTTTCCGATGAAAATCAATACAATTATGAATAATAAAACTTCCTTTAAAACAAGAAGAAATTATTATGAAGCAGATGAGGATGATGAGCAGTTGAAAGTCTTGGACGAAAACGTTGTGCAGTTATGAGATTCACAATAATTCCAAATCAAAATTAATTCCTGGGTTTCGTTCATTTATTCAGATGCAAATATTTGCTTTTATGCACCCTATTATAGATTTTTTAAAACTCAACAATGAGCAATTGAGCAATGAAGCTTTGGAATGTCTATAGTTCGTTAACGAAGCTTTTGCGCCTGTAAATCCAGAAAAACTTTTTACTCTGCTTCACACTTTACAAACTTTTACAATAATTGTTTAGAATCGTTTGCATTAATGTTATAATTTTCTATGCTAATTCATTTGAGGAAAAAGTTAGACATAAATGGTATTCATCAATCCCAATCAATGTGAATAACTTACTTTTTGCATATTTCCACTTGAATCCCTTGAACAAATCCATCTTCGTCTCCCTGATTTATAACAAATTTCCACTTATTACTCTTGGTTTCTGCCATTTTTGGAAATATAGTTTTCTTCAGTGAGCGACAGACGAATTTTTCGTCTTCATCTCCCAGTCTATTTGCTATTTCAGGAGGAGCCTGTAAGTGTCGGCGCGATTTAAGTATATGATGCGCATGAGTATGCTTATAAATAAAAATAAAATTATATATGGGCAATGAATGTTTCAACCGATAGAAATTCCGAGAACATCAACCTGTAACTATGTTATTTGCGTGAATCAATTTGTACGAAATGGTAATAATTATTTTCTTGCAATTATCTATACGGCGTCAGGAAAAGGTGGATTTTCCAACACCATGCAAACAAAATATACTATTTCGCTTTTTCATTTCAATCAAATTCTAAGTTCAGCAGTGCGTGGATGATTTGCGAAGATTGTTGCCTGTTAACCCACCCATATATGCAGGATGGAATTAAAAAATGTTTTAATTAGAAAAAATTAGTTTCCAAGCATCGTTTACCTCGTCTTGGCCGAAAAGCGACTTAAGTACCGGCCTCTCCTGAAGGATCTTCTTTATATGTCTATATGGATATCCTTCGATATCTTCACAAAAACCAAGACCATCAGCACACTTTGGTGGCGGCAGTCTAGAAAGAATGTCTGATCTATCTGCTATGGAATCAGGAAAAACAATATCTTGCTCTCTTCCGTATAACTCTGAAAGAAGAGCCATAAGAGTTAATTCGGTTTTGTGTGATTCGGGGTCTTGGTACCTACCGCCTTTCGGTGGATGTGTTAATATTCGAGGTTCTGTTCTGTTACCATATTCTGCAGCTACGCTTGAATTACCGTGTTCAGATCCGACGAGATCTTCCTGCAAATGATATAACACTTTAGTATTCAGAAATTTAGTATTATATAAAGATTCCATGAACGTTGATCAACTTAAGAATTAACTTTTTTATATCTTATGCTAGATGTTTGAAAAGAATTAGATACATTGACAAAGTTGAGGAGTCATTGAAATTAAAATAAACAAAACCGATGATGTCGAAAATCATCCAGCAAAATTAAGTGGTGAAGTTTTTAAATCAAACACTACAACCGGAGTAAGGAAAACAAAAGATCAGAAGTTCACAGGCAAACGACAGAAAAATTATCCAAGGAAATACTCATTACAAGTTGAGGAATCAATTGAATAATCTAGCAAAAATTAAAAGTTTGAAATATTAAAAATTCAAGATATTTAATCAACCCTACAAATACAAAATGTATGAAAAATGTACGGGAGAAGATAAAATAGTTCACAAAAATGATAGATGTCAAATAAAAATATTTGGAAAAAGCAGGAAATATTGAGTCTCAACAGCCCCGAAAACATTTTGTCTAGAAAATGGTCACGAAAAAAATTCCTGACCGTCTAAATTGAAGCAGCCGACAGAAATTACTTAAATAAATACTATGGAAATGTTGAACAACTTTGAAGGAGGAGAAAAAAATTGCATTTACATTGAGCGTACTTATTAAACTCTATATAAACGTCCAGACCATAACGCACTCAAAACCGAAAATATCACAGACTTGCAGGAAATTTTACAACGCAAAAAATCAAAAAGGACACAAATTAAGAGATATATTAATAAAACATTAGGAAAGTCAAAAAACATAAGTTAAAGCTGGATAAGTGCCAAAACAATCAAAAGTTATTACTAATACGTTAAATGAGACGGTTAAAGAGGAAAGAGTCAGATAAATACACAACGGTAGAAAATTGTACTTACTGATACTAGTCAAGAAAGAAAGATTATTTTAAAAATAATGGTTTAAAATTAAAATGTATAGGCTTAAAACCAAAGTAAAAGACGCAAGCTACACTATAATAAATTCAGGAAAGAATAATAATAGAGGAGATCTAAGAAAACTCTCACGAGATTAAAATTATTTTCCTGAGGATATGCTGAGATTTCTCACCTATTTCGTAGTTCAAAGTTATTCTTTAAATAAATAAGATAAGATATAAGTCGTACAAAATATTAAACATGTTTAAAAATTAAGAAAAAAGGACTGAATAAATGAAATCGCCTTTAAAGGTTTGAGATTTGTGACCATAATATTATAGCAACGTTATCAACTTTGCACTTAAATGTTAAACCAAACAAAACGCAAGAATTGAGACATTGAACGTAACAACTATGATATAAGAATGATAAATTCCAATGAACATTGCCATAAAATACCAAGTGAAAATACATAACGGCAACCTGGTTGTTTAAAAATGACTCTCTCCTTGCAAGTCTGGATAGATGAACAATACATTTGAAGCAAAAGCTATATTGCTTCCAAATAGAGTTCATTCATTAAGTAGCACATAGGGAAAAATAGGCAAAGTAAGAGAGCAAGAAAGAAACAAAATCCTATTTGATACAACAAGAATTAGTTAAAGTTGGATAGCGTAGAAATGGTACGAATTTCTAGCGTAAGTGAACAGCAGAAGAATGAAAAAAGCGGGAGCGCAAAAAAATCTATTCAAGACTATTTCAAGTCTAAGAAAGATAATTTATTACCGAAGTAACATACGGAAAATATAAACAGAAGAAATCGCCATGAAGTTTCTACAAGCTAGAGACCTGCAAACTACTTCAGATTTAACAGTTTCTATAAGCTGCTTAGAACGGTATCATATTAAAAACCTTTCACTATCTTGTTTTGCTCTGAAATATACAAGTTTACTTGAACAGGTGTATTTAAAGTGTGGATCATTTTTTCAAATTAACATATCTTAAAGTCATTATCACTAATCTCAAATAGAAAGCTGTTACATTTAAGTAAATGTAAAAGGTCGTTTCCTGAACCGGTTTCATCGAGGCAAAGTTAATGATTATTTAAATGACTGTTATATTGCATTTTATGCCAAGCATAAAAGTTATTATGCATATTTTTGGACAACCTCAATTAAACGAGTAAAAAGAAATAATATGTTTAACGTCGTAAACGCCAAAAACAAATATTGTAGAACTTATATTAACGGTGAGTACGAGAAATTATTTTATACCGGACGACGCATATTCTCATATAGATAGAAACACTTTTAAATACTCAGAAACACATTTTAATCACCAAACATGCACTTGCAATTACCTGCCGCAGAAAATATTGGCCTTTGGCTAATACAGAAAAACCGGACAATTTTAACAATAGAGAAAATTATTTACTCATCAGCGGTTCCTGTAAATGAAAACTCTGTTAAGAACAACTTTGCTCCGTTTTGGTTGGCTTATTCTCTATTTTAATTCTGCATTTCACTAAATTATTTCTTGTGACGTAGTAGAGAGTAAGAGTAATAAGAGACTTTGTATCTTCACTTGTACCGACACGCAAAACAAACATCGTTCCGTGACGAATTTTATAAACGATGTAAATTTGACATATGCAACAAAATATGTGATTAAAAACGTGTTTTTCAAATAATAATGATGATAGTATTTTAATTTTACGAAACCACTGCCACCATCTTAATTAAGACTAAAGGTAATTGTATGCAATTTTAACACAAAACTTTCCATGGACGTTATCCAAGGTCGAAATCGAAATAATTCTCGGTTCTGAAATTAAAATTGATTCATTATGAGAAAAAAAAGCAAAAATTACGTTTGCAATAAAATTGAAAATATCGTTATGTGCTCAACCAAGCTGAATATAGTCATAATTTAAAATAAATATTGTAACCGCTACTGTAGATTGGATTTTTTTTCCATTTATATTTATAAATGTTGGAATAACAAAAACGTGTCATGTTAAAACCTATCTAATTGGTTTTAATTATGGTTGGAATTTTAGGTAAGGTTTTTAAACATAAACAGAAATTCTTCCTGTTGAAAATTTGTTGTAATTTGACTGTAACATTGTAAATGTAGTAAAATAGAAGAAAACTAAATAGTTTTGATATTTAAGGTACCTGGTATAAAAAAGTTTTATATAAGTTTTTATATTAATTCAGTAAATTTGTTTTGCTTTGCAAATACAAGAATGGCATAAAAAAAATTTACACATGAGAGTTTCAAAGCAATAACTCGCATTTTCTAAAGTTATTTTCGTCAGCAATAAAGAGAATTTTGGAGAATAACTCCAAAATGAAATGTGAGAAAAGCAATTGTGTTCAGGAAGTTAATTAAAATTAATGAAACTATCAATAAATTTAAATAGCGAAAGCCACATACTTTAAGGCAAAAACGCTATGCCTTGTTTCGTATAATGGAAGACAAAAGAGCGGCCAACTATAAAACTTGAACGTTTTTAATTTAGCTAACTTTATTTATAAGGTATTTAGTTATTTATTTTGTTAATCTTCTAAATGGCCGCATTTTAGCTGAGTCGTTTTATATATGTTTTAATTGTAATGTATGCTGCGCGTCATTCTTTTATTTATTTTATTGTATTGCTGTAATCTTACAGTTACCATTATGAAATGAGGAATCTAATTAATTTGATTCAGTCGGAAGTACATTAATTTTTTTGCAATCATGCACTTCCCCAAGAAATATTTATGGTTCGCTAGACTTATGTTCCACATTTGTGCAATTTATTTAGGCTGGACGAACGTTCATCTCACTAGTTTTTGCCAGATAGAATCAACTCGATATTAACTTAATTAAAATAAAAATAAATTTCTGTAGGTTCTCCATTATGTCTGAATCAGTTTTTTGAGATAGGAATTAATTTTAATCGGAGTCATAAAACCAATTCTGTTGATGCCTAATAAAAAATTATACATTGGAATTCTTACTGGATCTTTGACCCGCTTGTTAATCTCCACAGATTACACTATATCGATTTTTTTTTAATAAAGCACCGAAATCTATAGATAGCCTTTAAAAATACATGGTCAGAGTCTTGTCCAGTTAAGTACAGTTTAACAAGATGTTTCTCTTTCTATGTTTCGTGTCTGCTTTGTATATTTCGCTCAAAAAGTTCAGCTTTCCAAACGCATATCATGATTATTTTTACAGGTATAATTTACTTAAGATGTTTATAGGTTTTCCTAATATGGAAAAGAATAAAACGCAATAAAAAAATAAAATGGATGTTAAAAAAAGTTTTTAATAATGGAACGGAAAACAATAAGTCAACAGAAATATCTGCTAACTAGTGACGAAATCAAAATATGTTTATTTAAAAACTATATTGTGCCATCGATAAGTATTTCAATTTTTTTTCAACAAACGCATTTTAATAACGCACAAACAGTAAAATTAAATTTGTAAAACTTTCAACAAATTAAAATTATATTGAAACAAAATAATATATTCACTTTTATAGAATTGATTAAACACTAACAACACAACACATTTAAAGTTTGTGTATAGAGAACCAAACAGTTAGTTTTTATGTAGTAATTATTCTTGTAATTTTGTAGTGACCGTGATTTTAAATGATGTCCAAGTTAAATATTTTCTTCATTTGCCGCTATTTTACCGAAAAATCCAGTAGTCTTAAAGAACTTAGTTTGCAAATTTACTCATTGCCTTTGATTTATTGTATAGGTGATAAAGTTTCAATTTAATTTAGTGTGTCCAGACGTAATGGCATCACGTTCACAGAACTAAAGATTACTCGAAGTTTATAATTTTTTTCCTTGATGCGTATTACACTGAAAATTATAGCGAATAATGTTTAATTATTCATCAAATAATTAAAACAAACAACCTAACAGAGCTCAAATTCACCCTTGCTGAACTTGGCCTAAATGCTGCAATAAAAGACAACCGAACAGGAATGAAACCTTGTTGTAAAAAAGCGAACATTAGGTTCTAACGTTTAATGAGATAACAATAAAATATCTTGACTTTATTGTTTTTTCATAAAAATGTGCATATTTTTAAAGCTATTTTTTTATTTCGAGACAAAAAGAAATTTGGCATAAAATATTTGATGCTCCATAGCGAATAAGAAAACTTGCTTCTGGTTTTTTGCTCAACCGAAAATAGCAAACAGATCAACGGAACTAGTGAAACGGTGCATGGTGTTTACTTAATACAATCGATGAATTTTAATAAGAGCTTGTTTGTTTTCGACAACGAATGGATGAATAAATAATTGATATATTGCTCTATGTTTGAATCCTGTTATTAATATTATAGGAATAAAGCGAAAATATAGAACCAAAACGTATCTTGAACGGATAACTGTACATAAGTAATTCCAAAGAAGTGATAATTTAATTAAGCTGTATAATAGAACTAACTTTCTGACAATTTTACGTATCCAATGATTTAATAAGAAAAAGGAAAAAGCTACCAAAGTAACGATAAGTTTACACTTTTGACAACAAAATTTAATAAAAATTGTAAAATGATTAAATTTTTAATAGAGTTGAAATACATATGTTTTTGATCAAAAATAAACCGACAACCCAAGAACCGACCGGTTAAGGGCTGATTCGGACTAATGCTGCAAAACTCATCTTTCGCTCAATTCGCATTGATCATTTTAAATTCTACGTTTCATTATTGGCTTTCTTCAAGGCTTATAGTCATATTTCTTGTTAAGCAATAAGTGCGGATAAAACAAAGTGTATAATAAAGCGCGCAGTACTTATTCAGTTTGAAGTAGGTACCTAGATTAGCTACAGGATATTACCAATAAAAACAACAAAATTGTCCCACTGGTAACCAAACAGCGGCCACTTAACATTTTCATCAAGAATTGTCGCCTAGGAGAATTAGGACACTATTTTCACTGGTTTGTTTGTTTTGAAAAGTCTCAAATAGAATCACTTTTACCATCTTTCACCTTGATGCTATTTACTTTCGTTGTCGAATGAGAATGTAACACTCATTCTTGAAAGTTTTCACCAATAAACGGCTTCACTTATTGGTAGGTAAAGGAAAATAGACATTATAACATTGACCTTTGCCTCTGAATCCTTCAATTCACTAGAACAAGTACCAACGACGGTCACGATAAAATTAGAACTGTTATCGCACTCTCTCTCTTGGCTTCGGATGTACTGGTCAACTGTATACTGCCGGACGAGAATATTAATTTTTCCGGTGCAATGATACTATAGTCATTATTCAGTCAACCGCAGACCGGTTGATCATGATTTCATGGAATTAAATGTATTGTAAAACAAACGCATTATCTTTATGTCTGCGATATTTGATTATCATGTTTATGAAGTCAACAATGGGTACCAGTTGAGGAGGATTTATTACCAAATATCCAATTTTTGAATATCCATTAAATGCTTTCACTAAGCGTAACACTTTCTCGAAATCACATCTAACAAACGTACCTACAACCAACTTCCAAATATTGCCAAAAATATTGCTACATACTGATATGCAATTATGCGTTCATTACTCAATTCGGTATGTGCAAGAAATGATACCACGTATTAATAATGGAAGTTACATACGTAAGTATGCACCAAAGCACATTGCCATTTTATTCCAGATTAAAATGCGTTGTTAAGTCACCGAAAATGCATTAAAAAAACATTAAATATTTCATTTGTTGCAAAAAATCTTATACGTTAGGATATGCTAAAATATGCACAAAGTGCAGCACACAACGTCCAGTAATGGTTTAAACTTTGTTACTGCCATGCTCAAATTGTCGATAGTTATTGTTTGCCCAAAACTGATGATGATGATGCTAAAGCCTATAAAATGTACAATGTGTCTAGAAGAAATCTACTTGAGCCGTTGTAGTAGTAGTAGTAGTATTGTGTTTCTGATTTTTGTTTTAATGGTCAATACTAATTGCTTATTCGGATGCGGAACACCCTAATTCTCATGCCAGGTTGACAAACTGAGCCTTCTAACTTTGAATATAGAAAAGTAATAAAAAAATAGTTTAAATGAAACCTCGGTATCGGTACCTTACTTAAAAAGAAACATGAACTGTTCGAAATATTTGAAGCAGGAGCCGATGTGAAAATGGGAAGTAAATAAAAAGATTGGCTAAATCATAAGATATTGCGAAAACCAGTTAATATTGTTCACAGTATTGATCAACAATGGAAAATAATTTTAATTAATTAACATTGGGGAAAGAAACAGATAAATGTGCAAGCAACCAATAGAACGCATTTGTTTCCGCATAAAAATCCGCATCCGCACGCCTTAATATAAAAAAACAATGCATTCAACAAATACCATTTAAACTGGGTGCAAACTGCAAACGGAAAAACCAACTTAGAAATCTATATGAGGATGAGGAAGACAGAGTAGACTAGGTACAGCACTCAAAACTTCAAAATATAATTTTTTTAAAGTCTTATCTTAGTCTTATCTTATATATATTTTAAGTAAATCTGTTACAATTTCGGAATGACAAGAACCTATTGTTTGGAATAACAAATGCCTCTATACCGAAGGAAAAATCAGAATATGTAAAACGCCTAAAAGGTGCCCCTAATAAACGTATCAAAGTTAATATTCCACCATGGCAAATTATATATAAACTTATCTATTGTACAGAAATAAAATGCTTGTAATTTAACAGTTCATGTATTTTGCAACCATATATTTCGCGATATTCTGCAATGAGTTAGAACACATTGCATAAAATTGCGTAAAATACAATAAAAAGTCAACTGGTCGTTAAGTTATGAAAAAACTTTTCAACTTTTTAACTTCACTTGAACATTTCACATTAATCCCTAATCATCATTATACCTCTAGATTATTAGTTATTTTCCATTTTATAAAAAGTTGTGATTTTGTATCGTAGCAATCACCTTATCATATAAGATTCTATTAATATCAAACGCTGCAATGAAATCCAGATGAGTAAATTTATCGTATTCAATTAGGTGTGACTCCGCCACGATTGGAAGCTCACCTACTAGTTTCTCCACGTCCTAAAGTATTAACAGGTAATATAATGGTATTTCTTTAAATTGCATTGTCAATTAGCTGGGTCAAAAATTTATCATTGCAAAAATTTTAAATTTTAACAATTCATAAAGTAAAGAATAATTAGAATTCTACAAATAAATTTCTATCATTATAATAAACTAATTGCTACAGTAGAAAAAATTCAAAGCTCGCACCACTAAAATAAGTTCAGCTGCTCATCATAGACCTTAGAATTTCAAAGCAAAATAAATTTTTTTAACTACTGTACTTGAAAGAAATATATCATGCATTATTCAAAAGAAGGCAACATCATTTAAACTAACTTTTATGATCTGTTCGGCTCAAGTTTTAACGTAATCAATAATTAAATAGACAATTGCAATTTAAGTACCTAGCTTAGTGCTATTACTTACTTCTAGTGCTGCAAAAAAGTCATTTTTTGCATAGTAAACAGCGACAGGAACATTAATTGCAGATACATTATAAGCAGGAGGCTTACTACTTCCATAAAAAGCCATATTGTTTTTTGATCCGTAATCAAACTGCTGAAAAGCGTCTAAAACAGATAAGCAGATTATAGAGAAGACGAAATTATGAGCATTTTAAATGTCCTTTTTAATAAGTGAAAAGTTAGAATTAGCGCTGCCTAATAAAATTCCAGAAATATATGCAGACAAATATTTCTTATTCCAACAGTTTTTATTTTGTGGAAATTAAACAAATAAGGCACGCAAATTGGTCCATCCTGTATCTTAGTCATTATGGTAAGCACTTTCATTTCAAACTTTTGTAGTTTTGATTTTAAGCGTTTGTTCATTTTGGTTTACAGTGTCGAAACCAAGTTCACAGTAAATCGATATAAATAATTAAATTAAACTTGTACAGTGATTTTTAATAAAACTAATTACCTGCACGCATTTCTTGTCCATAATGAAACAGTTGTTTGAACGAAATCCCACTTGGCTTATCAGATATTAGTGTCAACAAATAATCCTGAAACAATCAAGAAACATTTTAAACTGCAAGAACAACATTCATGTTCAATGCTATTTAAAATTCTGCCAATGTATATTCGTTAAAAAAATGTTTTAAGTAGTAAGTTTTAGTAGTTAAAATACGGGTAAGGCTATAGAATACAAATGATTTTAGATTTGTAACCGGATAAGACATAATGGAGTAATAAAGGTTTTTCAAGTATAACCATAACATTTGTCGAATGGTTTTACTGTGAGTTATTTCTATTTGGCTTAATAATTATAATTGCTGAAATTGACAAAACTGAACACAAAAATATGTAGATATTTAAACTTGGAGAATGCGTAAAAACCATAAAGTGGTGCCTAGAAATAAACTAGTACCACAAAATTTGGAATAAAAAATACATTACTTTTTTATCTGCTTGTCGAGAGGTAAAATTATCTTGGAGGATAATTGCAGTAAAATAAAGCAATTTTAAAGAGAAAATTAGCTAAACGGTAAACGGTTTGGTTGGATTGAAGGAAACATCCGTCGCATCGATCGATCTTTGTATGGAACATCATATCAATCGACAAGATGTTGCTCGTTAAATTGAGACAATTGGTATCGAAAAGAAACAAACACCCTTTCCAAAAACGTGCGGCTTTAGATATTAATATTTAACTAACTATTAATTATAATTGAAAATGGTTATGGCATAATGTTAAGAAAAACTGTACTGGCTCACAAGATGGAAGTTGTAAATTCCTTTCTTTGTAAAAACTTTGTAGAATTGTTATTATTGACGTGTTCGTAAGAAAATTATAGTTGGTATTGCGATTGCGATAAATGCCAAAGTTTATTGAACATTAAAATATAAATAATTTTTCTGCAATATAAATAAATACTTTGCGTAATTTTCACTTATCCTTAAAGGTCTCCAAAGTGTTCAACATATTACTATATTTGGAGCCTTACTCTGGAAAAGAGCTGAAGTCCATCTACGGACTGTTTTGTTTTGTTGCGATTTGTTTGAGATTTATTAGATTTGTATGCAACATGCCGACGACAAGCAATAAAGATTTGTAGAAATTGGTTAAACAATTGGATGCTGACTGAAATATACGACAATAATATTTAATAAGCATACATTTAAACAAAATATTGGCTAAACCTACACTTACCAATGCTATTTCATCCGAATCAAATCCTATAAGTAGACCTAATGTTTGCAGACATACTTCTTCGAAATCAGCAACTACACAAACACTTACAAGCAGTTCAGAAAGCAACTCTTCATGTGGGATGCCATATAATTTTAGTAGATCAGGAAGAGTCTGAAATATCTAATCATTAATAGTTCTAATGGTTAATTGACTGAAATATATTATATTAATAAAAAATATTTTTTTCTATCAAAATACACCTAGTGTACACAGATCTGAATGCTATCAAACAAACATGTTACACATTGCATGTAAAAATGGATTTGGTTCCTTTTTTACTTTATCTGCCAATATGATGTTTCGTCAGAGTCTGCTACCCGTTTGGTGAGAATTAGAAAATTAAAAAAAAATTCTTATGCGACTTAATTTTTAGAAGTTTTCGTGTGTATTTATTTACCTCAAGTGCATTTAAAAAACTGACTGCCAAAACAGGTATGGGACTTGTAACTCCTCCCATATATCCTATAGGGCTGAGCAACGAAATAAGATTTAATTTTTCAAGATATTCGGTTCTTGTGGAAGTTAACGCTAATAATGCAGAAGTTCCCTCGGAATATCCAATTGCAGTTATTTTTTGCAAGCCTGTACTGTTCAGTATATAGTCAATGCTTGCTGCGACATCAAAATAACCCTTTTCATGAAAGCTGAAGTTCCAGAATTCTTTTCCGGTAATGTTTAAGTTTTGGTGTAACATTGAATACCTGGTACCTCTCGTATTAAGCAGCCATACGTCATAATCTGAAAACTGTAACTTTTAAATACACAATGATACTATCAAGTGCAATAAGCCTTCAAAACAAACCGTAGATTTCTATCAGTTTCTTGAAAAAATATGTAGAAAATCCAATATTGACAATAGTATTAGGTCAGCTTTGTTCAGCGAAAATCAGCGAGGCAAAACATCTCTGGTTATAATCGTTTTACTTAAGGCTTGGGTGCTGAGCAGCAGAGTGGTAAAGTTCCCGGAAAGTTTTGTTAATCAAGTTATAATATCTTGAGTGCTTAAATGCTCGTCATGAAATCATACTGAGTTATATATTCGATTTAGATTTTTTCTGTATTTGCATTTATATGATCGAACAAAAAATTGTAAAACTAATATAGCTAAAACTCTAAATGAAAAAAATGTTTTTTTAAAATATCAACAGACTTTAACTGAGTCTAATTAATAAAATAAAGATTATTTTTTTTTTTGCTTATGCAAATTTTTATGAATTACATTGTTTTAAATTTTCCAACAAAATTTATCTCAATGGTTTATGGGACATTTGCAAAAATATGTTGTATTAAGCTTATAAAGTTGTACTCGAATACATAATTTGAAAACAAATCTCGTTCAGTTTCCGGTCTAAAAGAAATTATTTATTGTAAAGATTAATATGTTAGTTAGAATGTAATGTGTTTCAATGGAATGTGTTTTTGAATTTTATGAATGAAATATCAATTATCGTTAGATTGAAACTAAGATCGGGTAATAACTGAAAGCTCACTTCAACTAAAACTAAAATATTTCGGCAAAATTAATAACAAATGATTTTATTATATGGTGCGAGATTAAAGAATATATTATAGTTTGAAATGTAGCACTGAAGAAATGGTATATTTTACTTTTCATTTAAAACCAAATTAAATTTCAATTTAGAAAATTATTTTACAAATTTGTTGTATAAATCTCAGATTTAATTTGCAAATTAGTTGCATATTTCTGCAAAAGATTCTATTAATCTTTTTATATTTTTCTATCAAATTAATAACTTTTGTGAACCGGAAACCAAAATATTTGCATTTCTTAATTGAGAAAAATAAATATATTTTTGCTTATCTTCTTGAACTTTAACAAACATGTTTGAATGCACAGTGATCCAATGAGGACGATAAGTAGCAAATCAATGAAGAAATGAGGCGAAAAATTGAATTTATAAACTAAAATTTAAATATTGTTGCATGAATACAAAAATAGAAGTTGAAGTACAATAAGCAATAGAAAAGCTGACTTAATTTTTAATAACCTGCTATTACTGCGGGAACTTATTTTGAAGAAAAAAAAATATTTTTTTAAAATGACTTCTAAAAATATTAGCCAATAACTTCTTCAAGCTTCAATAACACGAACAGGGAAAACCCAAATTACCCAAAAGTGAAATTTCGGGCCTCTGCCACCGGTAAAATTTATTGCAAAGGCATTGCAAAAAATCTAAGAATACCTAAAGAAACTGGCCGTTAAAGAAATTACTTTTCATGGGTTATAACTTTAGGATTTTTTTATTTAGACAATTTATAATTATACCTATATTTACTCAGTTCGAAAAATTCAAAATTTGTTACGGACATACGTTATAACTGCTTGAAAGCTAGATAATGTTAAACAAATTCATAATATATGCTAAAAAATAAATAATCTAATWAACCGTATGCTGTTCTGTCAATAATTCAGCATCGAACAGAAAATTGTTTTATTCGTAATACTMTCTGAGACGAGTGCTGTCCGAAACAAATGTTTAATAAATGTCATTTTCTAACTAAAAATATGCAAATCTATAACTTCTCGCGTGTTATCGGAATCATGGCTAAACGTGCCTTTATTTTAAAAGGACAATTTAGATTTTCTTCACTAWTTTAGATTCTCAAATCTGAACTGGCAAAACGTTTATCGACAAAACTCAATTAAATTAACAAAATTGTCGATTTCGTTATCCACACGGTGTTAAAAYGAACAATTTTCAAGAAAATTTGAAARGAGCCAAARTTCACAAAGAAAAAGTAATTAGAGAATTTTTTATTATTTTGTTACAAATTAAATTAATTAATTAATTAAGAATAAGATTAAGATTTAATGCTAATTGTTTGCTTGACTAAAAACGRAAAGTAAAATACTTTAACTAATATAATTAATACATACAGGGTGATGTGKTGTGAAAATTGACGCCACTCTTTTGGAGGTGTTGTCTGGGGGTGTTTTAGGAGTACATAAAAAGAGTTAAAAAAATTAACTGTTATTAAAAACTAATAAATTTGCAAAAAAACTCTATGGGAAAKACGGCAACAATGTTTTTCAAGGTAATCTGCCTAATTAACATCATGTAAATTCCTGTTGCTTCGTAATTWTTAAAAATTCCGATACCCATGRAAAAATACAGAAAGTGACAATAAAAAAGATTCTTTGAAGGTGGRAACGTACTTTTTCGAAATGTCAACATAGTCAACGAGTCTTTTATTGTCCTCATAACCTCGAATTGATATATATGCAAACAAACATACATTTCAGTCTTTAACTCCAAACAAGTGAGTTCCTGTGTAATTACCTTATTGTGCGCTCTTCTCGAACAGCTTCTCGTATTCGGTTAATTAACTCCTGCTCAATTTGTACCGGTGTTCAGTAAGCTATTGGTTTTATGTGTCCTTGTGCTCTGTGTATCTTACATACGTGGTATTTATTTGGTGCCTGGGAAAGTGTTAGTGGTTCTGCAATGCTTAGAGTACCCCTGGAAGACTCTGCTGCAATTATGTCCAATGCCTGTTTCTCTGCCAATCTCCAGTCCTTCGTGAGGCTAATAATCGGGATAAATAATCGCATATCCGCTAATCCGTTGAAGAAGCTTCGAAGTAAGTCACAATTTTTGTGATTTGAAGCAAGGGTCGCAAGTATTACAATATGCTACCAATTAAAAATGGAAAAAATAATTTTGAAAATAATCCTTAATAACAAAGTTGAAATTCGATTTATTCGAACTGTTAAGATCTTCTAGAAATTTCCGAAAATTTGATTTTCTATATTTTTCTTGTACTCTGCAAGTGAGCCTCTATTACCCCTTAAAAGGAATGACGCCAATTTTTGTATCACCCTGTATGTAGAGTCCAAATTTGCGATTCTTCTGATATAATGTAATATATTCAAGTGTAATCTTCTAAGAAGAAGATGCAGCAAAATCACTTCCTC